GCATGTTATAATCATATTACATATTTCAGTATATTTAGCCCCTGTTTGTCTACCATTTTTCAAAACATTGTTTTCTACAGTAATCAATCTCTACCACACATTCAAATAATAAAATATTCTACACATAAATCGATAAAATTTCTTTCAATTTCAACCATACATTCTTCAAAAAATACTATTCATTACACCATTTTCATCCCAATAATGATAGACAAATAGGCACAAAAAGTTTCAAAAGAGGAGAGCACAATCCCAACCATATTCCCCCATACCCCACACCAAACCCACAAAACAATAGGCAAATACACGATTTTAAAAGACCATAAATTCTAGAGACACGAGTTCCACCTACCTATTACCCCACTCGACCCTCGAAAAAAACCCACAAAACAAAGGGCAAAAACATAACTACCTTTAAGGCTCTGTTGGATTGCAATGAATTTCATGGAAAATATCTCATCCGAGATAAACGAATTTCATTTTGGCCGTTTGATTGTAATGTGAAAATGGAAATTGAATTCCAAGGTATAATTACTTTAAACTGCATTTTCTTTATTTTCATTGAAACGAATTCATATAGGTTTAATGTGTTTTTATTTTTCAACTAATATGGAATTGGAATTCATTTCCACCTTTATCTATCATACGGATCCAAATGTCTAGATAAATCTTGGGTCCTCCAAGGTTACATTATTTATCAATTCTAGTATGTCCTTTTCCTTCTTATTTTTTCTACTCTTTATTAACATTTCTTCTCTCTTTCTAATCCCTCAAGCCTCTTCTTTATAAGCAAATTGAATGACCCACAAAGTAATTCCTTCTAGCCATTTTCTACACATTGCCCTCATTTTAACCTAGTAGTTTCTTACTTCGCATAAAAACAAAAATGAAATCCATAGACCTGTTTTGTGCCTCACCGGCTGCCACCGCCATATGTTCAAGCATGGACCAACGCGCCACTGTACCGCATGGCATGAAGGCGCTCGACCGCCATATTCACTGCCTTGGCGACCAGCCTAAAAGCACACCACCACCACCTTGTTCATCCCGACTCCCCATTGATCCTAGAACTCATTATCAAAAAAACAGAAAAAATTCTTCTAAGCAAAGTGAATTATTACGTACAAAAAGCTCAGCTGATGTCAATGACCTAGGTTCTTCAAGATACTTATTGAGTGATAATCCATTTCTTAATTTCATATCAGATTCTGATCGCATATCAGAGACAGCCTTGGTTCCCATTAATCAGCCTGTTAGGACCAAACATATGGATTCGGACGATTTTCCAGTTTTCAAGTCTTTGTCCACTCGATCGTACGAGTCTCCTAGGAATATGCCCGTAAAGCAGTATCCGGTCTTTAAATCTTCGCCAATAGGCTCGAATGAAAATATGCTCGTAAAGAAGTACACTTCTCTAGCGGATAAATCTTCGCCAACACGCTCAAATGATACAACTGATGCCCCAGAAAAGCTTCCTTTAAGACACTTAAGTGATCCTCTTCACGTTCCCAAATCTTTATCAACTCGATCAAGTCATCGTGATTTAAAAGTTCTTTATCTACCCCTTTATCCTACTTATAATTATTTTTTCTTTCTAATATCGATACGTAATTGTTGATAATTTTTATTGTGTTGTTTCTAGGTTGTTGAATTAAGGGTGTCAATCCATTGCAAGGGTTGCGAAGGAAAATTGAGAAAACATATCTCTAGAATGGAAGGCAAGTATTTGCAAGACTGACATTACAATTACTATAAAAAAATATTTTGAATTTTCCACTAAACGTCGAAAAATTCTTGTAGATGACTCTAAAGTCATTAAAATTAATTAATTTGTCATTCTTGCTTATATATACACACTACTTATGGGTTTTTAATGCTAATCTAGGTAATATTTTACTAGCTAGTAGTGTCTTTGCTTTCAAGAAACAATATTATAACGGATTGATTGATATAATTTCCTTTTTTTTTTTCGTTTTTTCAGGGGTGACATCATTTAAAATAGATTTGGCCACCAAAAAAGTGACAGTAATCGGGAAAGTGACACCTCTAGGCGTACTCACGAGCATTTCCAAGGTGAAGAATGCCCAATTTTGGCCGTCTCCAACTTCTTCGTCTTCATCTTCATCACCAAGAGTTGGTCCAACCGACTAAAATTTCTAACAAACGAAAAAACCAATTCCATACCTGTTGTCTATTCCGTAACAATTACTAGAATGGATGTAACGTTTTTTCGCACTCGTGAATATTTGTTTTTTTTTTTTTCAGAATGCAAATTAAGTTAAAAAAGAGTGTGTTTAATTCTCGCGATCTCTTGCCATAATTCCTTGGGAACAATCAATTCATGTCCCATTGTTAATTAAAACAATGGTGATTAAATTAACATATCGATTTTTATTTATTACACCACATTTTAGTTGCAATTAAACTCATCAATCAATTATTTCCTTCACTTCTTTTTTCCGTCGAATTCTTATCTTCAACCTTCTATTAATTAGTACCGTCTCATCCTTGATAATGATTTGTATCAAAATATTTTGTTTTCATGTTTTGAAATGAGGGAAAAATATTTCTTTAATTTATATTAATCGATAGTATGCCATTCAACTTATCTGAAATTTCAATAGATTTCTTATAATTTGATTTGCTGTGTTGTAGGTTTATGTTTGATGAAACCCAAGTATTGCAAGACACACCTTTTGATTTCAAGATGGATTGTTAAGTCCAATTAGTGAGCCTAATCTCATTCACTGATTGAAACCTTTTCTCCTTTACATTTTTGAAACTGTATGAACAAAAAATTTTGCAACATGTTTCATTTATTTTCAAATTTACGTAGTGGGTCGGTTAAAAATTGGGTTTTTCGAGCTTAACAATATTAAGGGCCTATTCGACATATTTTTGTTTTTGCTTTTGCTTTCCGTCGAAAAGTTTTATCTTAATTTTTGTTCGAAACTTAAGTTTTAAAAGAGTTTCATATTCTTGAAGTGTTTTTAGAGTAAAGCCATAGTTGATGAATTTCTTTTAAAAACTCTTTTAACTAGAAGAAACACTTTAAAAAATTAGCCAAATGAGTATCAAAACCTCCTTTTAACTTCTCAAAAACTATCTAAAACGAGCTCGAAGTTCTGTTTTAAGATAAACTTGCTATTTCTAGTGCTAAAGAAATTTTGATGCAATACTTTTATTGCACAAGAACTAAAGAACCGAATTCGGGTTTTATCACCAAATTTTTTACATGGTGTTTGAGAAAGACATGACGTTTTAGCAACCAAACTAAAAATAAAAGCATACATTTTTCATATCTTCTTTATGGATATTTTTACCTAATTAACTTTTATTTTCCTTGAGTCTTTGACCAAATCTCATGGATGGGTGATGAACAAAGAAAAGAAATACCAAAAAAGCAGAATTTGGGGCCTCCATCAAGGGATTATATTTAAAATTTGTAGATCCAATTTTTTAACTTGGAAGGGCGCCAATGAGAAATTGTTTTAATTAAAATTATTTATTATATAGTCGTTAAAGAGGGAATGACGATAATATTTGTTGACCCTGAAAAACGGATATGCACTTGGCCAACAGAACGTATATTCCTCCCTGGATGCTTGACATAAATGGTCAGTCGTTCATGACCATTCTCGACGGGGGGTGGTAATGGCTACAAACACTTTGACGATCAAGTTAGTCGACAATAACTGTCAACGATCAATTCCGGTAGCGGGAATTGTGGGAATTTTTATATCATCTCAAGAGGGGAGGAGAAATAGTGAATCTTGAACACCCCATTAGGAGGCAAATACCATCGGTCGAGAAAAATGTCCAACAACCATTTTCATTCCAAGCGAAATATGAGTGCAAGAGAAGGAGAGGGGATTTGGTTAGGGTTCTATTGGCGCTAGGGCCGACCTTGGCTCTGGCCCAAGACAATCTAGGCCATTGCCTTGGCCTTACTTCTTAAGGGGTTTCAAAAATTTAAAAGCCCAAAAATTCAACAATTTTTTTTTAGTTGTCATTTATTCCATTTAAAAGACATGACTAAATAAAATGATGAGAAAATTACCTAAAACCAGGTATTTAAATTTTCAAATTCAAAAATCAGGTGGAATGTTTATTTTATCAAAAATTAGGTATTAATTAAATTAATAATTAAAACCTAATTTTCAATCCCCTCCCTCATTCATCTCTTCCCACCCCCTCTCTCTCATCTCTGAATCGTCTCTTCCCACCCCCTCTCTCATCTCTCCCTCCT